GTGTGTTCGGGAAGGAGCAGCAGTGTTGGGAGAAGGTGCTGGGATATAACCATGGAAACGGAAAGCCTCCACAGAGCTGCCTCTGTCTGCCTGGCGATGGCTGCCCTTACCCGCTGTCTGCCGGCGTGCTTCCCTTCTGACGTGGCAGTCAAATGCTTCTGGGACAAAGGAGTAGTTCATTCTTCAGGGCTTCATTCCGTGAGGCCGGTTGAACATTGGTATAGGAATTCTGCGCTTGGCTTCCATCTGGGATGTGACCCTTCTTAGAAGAATTTAGCAAGGTCGATTCTGGGGCTTCAATTTGCGTTCACTGAAACAAACAACTGCGGCAGCTTAACGTGTTGCTGTTCCCAGTTGTCAGCCTGCCCTGGATCCGGGGTTACCTCTCCCGCGGCAGCCCAGGCTGCTTGTGGTGGTTGATTCAGCTGGTACACTGCAGCCTGGACAGAGCTGCTGGCCCTCTGCCCTTCTGGAGCTTTTGCTGGAGGGACAGGTACTTGCTGGCAAGAGGGAAGGGCGAGTGACTGAGGTTGGTAACACATAATCTGCCGAAGTGAAAGGTGGTGAAGGTTTCTCCAGCTTTAGGGAGTCCCTAATGTGGGTGGTGTTACGTTAATACACGTTACGTGCTGTATCCGTGCAAAGGTATTGCACTGGATTTAATCAGGTCAGTTTCTAATTGAGAATTAAGGAGCTGGTGACAGACAACATGGGTTAATGAGGTCTAGTGGCAAGAAAGGGAAGTTCCTCTTGATCACATTTTTGTGACAGAGATGCTTAAGCTGTGGTTAGACCTTCGACAGCTGTGTTGCATAAGCCAGCCTGAGCAGTTCCTGCTTCAGCAGGCCTTCCTCTGCTGTGTTACTGGTGGTGAACTAAATTGGGGAACTGATCCAGCAGAAATGTAACACAGCTTAAATGTATTTATACATATTTGTCTTGAGATCCTGATCTGTTCAGTTGACTAGATTCACTGGCTACGCAGACAGCAGTAGCTGTGCCGGCACACGGAGGAGGGAACACAAGGCTGGGAACAAGCAGCCAGTACTGCTGAAGTTGCTAGTGCCAACAAAAAAAAAAATTAAGTGCAAGCCAGACCGATTTTGGCTGCCGAGCACTGGCCTGGGGTTAAAGGCAGGTTTGGTAGGTCAGTGAACTTGCGTGAGTGTTGCACTTCTGCCTTGAGCTGTACCGCTGTGACACCGTGTCTCTTCTCCCGTCTTGTTTGCAGCGTTTTGATGACCTATGATCACATAGAAATTACCTTTAGTGACATTGAACCTATGCCAGATGCCTTCAAAGGGACCAAGAAAGGGAGCGTTTTCTTGACTCCTTACCGAGTAAGTGGTAAAAGGCTTTATCTTGTGTAAGGAGATAAGGGCTCTTTGCGATTCTGTATTTAAATGTCCTCAATGCATAAACGTCAAGGATAATCTACTACCCGTTGAAGTGTGGCTCATCCTCTCCCTCTGGGGAGCATTATGAATTCATTGCATATCCTATCTATTTGTCAAAAGATAATAAATCTGATTAGTTCTTAGGCAGGCAGCTGTTTAGTCCATCAGGCATCTTCAAGATTGGAAACTAGCAATGGTCTGGAAATGCTGAATGCAACTAAATCAGAGCTGTGTGGAGCAGCGAGTGCTCTGGAACTGGGAGGAGTATTATCTGAGCAAGGGTAATCTTCCTGGAAGGCTTTATTGCCTTGAGGCTTCACTTTACCCTTGTGGCTCTTCTGTGTAGCTTTTGGCTTGCAGAACTGAGGAGGAGTTTCAGATGTGGGAGGGAGTTTCAGTCAGTCGAGAAGTCTCTTCAGATAATAAACCAGGGCTGCGTTTCCTGTGTGTTTTAAATATCCTTTTCGTGTTACTTTCTTTTCAGGTTATCTTTGTATCGAAGGGAAAGGATGCTATGCAGTCTTTCATGATGCCCTTTTATTTGCTGAAAGATTGCGAGATTAAGCAGCCTGTCTTTGGAGCAAATTATATCAAGGGTACAGTGAAAGCGGAGGCAGGAGGTACGTATGGTGCAGCTGTATGTTCTGTACCGCAGTTCAGCTCCACAATTCACAGCAGAGTAAGTAACTGGTGTAACCAGGACTGGATACTGACCGAATTGCTTTTTACAGTACTGCTAAGATGTGTTTCTCTCTTTGAAGCTGGCAGCTAAAAATACCCCCTTATCTGCTGCCTGTAGGGTTACAGTGAACAGATCCGTTCTGCAACGGATCTTGTTCCTGCCCTGGGTGCAAAATACGAAGTTCAATCAGCCAAGTGATCTCGCAGAGTCGACGTCAGAGCAGAGTCAGCAAAGAGGGCGGGTGTCTCTGCTTTGGTCAGGGGGGGTTACCTGTTCGTTCTGCGTCCGGGTCCTCCTTGGCCAAAGCCTCAAGTCGTCCTTTCTGCACCTGTCTGGGTTGTCAGGTGCAGATCTCCAGGGCGCTGCTCCCCCTCATCAATTCCTGTGCAGGTCAAGGAGAGTGACGCTGTTGCTGGAGCGCGTCTTAGCAGCGACAGTGACACTGGGAAGAGAATGGGCTGCCTTGGGATTAGGGAATCTTCGAGGGGCAGTTTCATACTACGTTCGGTGAGGAGGTTGTGGTAGACATTTTCAAGAAGAATTCTTTTCCAGTCGCTGTTTTATGCTTCCCCTTTTCCCCAAAGGCACATAGTTCAGGGAACTCTTTCATCCCCGTCTTGGTTTAGTCTGTTAGTTGTGGCACTGAAATCGCAGTGCTTGGGAGACGACAGCCTGCAATGGGCGTTGTAGCTTCTGTGTGGGAGCAAAGTGGGACCATCCAGCCTGAGAGGAAGCCTGAGCAGTAGTGACCAACTCTGTAAGCTGTGAAAGGCAAATGGCTTTAGCTAAATCTTTATGAATTTTCCCCAGAGGCCATCTCTTTTAATGAGGATGTTGCTTTAACAGCCATGAGAGTCTGGTTTAGCTCAAAAGGCTCTTTAATCTGCCCGTCCCTGTTTCAGCACTGACACAGCTTCTGCTTTGATGCATTGTTGTGACGCTGCGCTGTGTTTTCCTCTTTTAGTCTGTAACATGAGATGTCACTAATTTATTTTTTTATTATCCTGTCTTGAAATTTATGAATATGACTCTAATGGATTTATGTGGACCGTGTTTTTCATTAAGCTCTTTGCTCCGTTGGGCACTCGAACTCCCAAACTAATTTGCAGCTGACAGTTAGGTGTAGTTGCAAAGGCTTTTTAGCAAATGGGATTAACAAAATCCCTGTCTTCTGCACTAATCTTATACAAAGCTAGAGCAAATCCAGCGCTTCTGATAGCTTGGTCTGTCAGCAGCTGGTGTGGTAGCAGGCCCAACTTTAGAAAGCTTTTGAAGGTCTCCCTCATTAATGTTTCTTCTTCAGGTGTCTCTTGACCTGAAAATACCCCAGTGTGAATTTTTCTGATAACGGGGTAATTCGGCCACTTGATCTGCAATTTTTTTCTTGAGGTTTTGGGATAAGCTCTTTAAAGAATTACATACAGGGCATCTGCAGGTAAAGCGTGGAAGCTAAATAGCATCAAAATGGCTTCTCCTTGCTCCTGAATTCCGCCTTTCCTCCCTGCAGGCGGCTGGGAAGGATCCGCCACGTTCAAGATGACCTTTTCAGCCGGGGGCGCTATCGAGTTCGGGCAGCGCATGCTGCAGGTGGCGTCGCAAGGTAGGGGGGGTCCAGCCGGGTCTGCCAGACGCTTCCGTGGTTTCAGGAGGCAGCTTCATCTCACAGCAAGGGCACTTCTGGGTTGCAACAGGTTGGGTTCAAATCCGTGCGGGTTTCAGGCTGTATCTGGAACTCGCTTGCTTTAAAAAATACTTTTTTTTCACATTGATTGAACAGCAGCTTTGTTGGGACGGAGCTTATTTGTTTTTCAGATAACGACTCTCTTAAGTTCGTTGGAGTTCTTGGCCTGCGTTTGATGCAGGCTTGATGTGTTGCTGAGGTCAACTTGCTTTGTTTTTCCAGTCTCCAGAGGTGAAATACCCAACGGCGCTTACGGCTATTCCTATATGCCAAATGGATCCTACGCTTTCGCACCAGCTGCAGCTAATGGGGGCTATCCGTACCCACCTCCTCCTCCTGGTGAGCGTGGGAATTGAGCATGGGGAATATTCTACTTACCAAGAGCTAAGATGGGTAAAAAGGGGAAGAAACACAAACTTTACGTAGTCTTTTAGATTGGATCGGCTGCCTTGTGCAACTTTAGTTTCTGAGTTTACTTATATTTGCCTCTGGCTTGTTTTGGCTGAATGCTGTGACCCACCCAAAGGAGTTAAGTCCTTTGCTGTGTTATTTCCTTTCACTGACAGAGTTTTATCCTGGCCCTCCTGTGGTGGATGGAGACATGGGTTACATGCAGCTTCCACCCCCGCCGTACCCAGGGCCCATGGAACCCCCCGTCAGCGGTCCAGACCTGCCCGCCACTCCCGCAGGTACGAGGGTGTTCAGGTGAATTGGCTCACACGGGTTTTGTTACCCATGAAACAGACACTGTTTCTTGTCTCTTATTTCTTGGGGAACTGAGAGTCAACTTAGAAGCTCCACTTAGAAGTTAAAATTGTAGGAGAGGGACGAGGGAGCTCCCCTAACCTCCAGCCCTGTATATCCAGCTCAGTCTGGAGGCCAGCCTGATTCTCTCCAGGGTGGATACCATTAGCAGAGATTTTGCAGCTGTTTTTATTTTCGTTGTGACGGGGAAAATACAGTTTGTGATTCTCCTGTTGTGGTAATCTTGCTCTGATAGAGGAATAAAAAGAAATTGATGGTGAAGCGTCTTTGTAGTCCATCTTAGTGAGCAAATGTGGCTTTGGTGATATTTGCTCCCCCTTCCCCCATTTCACTCTAACCTGATTACTTTTGCTTAAACAATTTGGAACAGAGGAATAGATGATGGAAGGGACCTGGGGAAACATCAGTCTCATTTTCACTCATTTGGGATTTATCGAAATGATGTTGAACATGGTCTTAAAAGGTCTGCGTGGTGGGGGGGGGGAAGCTTTTGTGGTTGGACACAACCATAAATCTGTTGTGGGTAAAGATATTTGTCTGGATAAGGATTTAACTGCTCTCTTTGGTTTGAATAAACAACAAACCATCTTTGAATCTGTTATTTGGAAAGTGGCACTGACCCAGATGGTTGTGGAAGATTTTTGTGTTCTGCAGAAATAGAGGAATCTAGATTATCTTCATAAATTACCGTCTTTAAAGTATGACTCCCCTGAGCTGCTGTAAACTTGTGCTGGTTTTTGTTTTGTCTGAGAAGGACGGTTTGTTGAGTGCTTTTTTTAAGGGGTGCTGTCTGTATTCGGGCAAAACAGCCATTAGGGTTTATTTGTTGGCTAACAAGGCCCAGGAGGCGTTTCCAAACTAAATCTTGGTCTGTCCCACTTAGGACTTGACGATCCTGAGGCAACTGGAAGAGATAATGCTCAGTTGTCCTGTTTGTTGTAGCTATTTTGCGACTCAAGTGGCGGGCAAATAGCCCTCCGTTAGTAACACCTGATGGCCAGGAGCACGTGGAGGTTTTGTTTCATTGTGACAGTTCTCTGTGTGTCACCGAATCTGTAACTTCTCTTTCTGTGACAGCTGAAGCGAAGGCTGCCGAAGCTGCTGCCAGTGCTTACTACAGCCCAGTCAACCCCCATAACGTCTACATGCCCACGGTGAGTTCCCGTGTCGTTCCGCACTTGCTGCGAGAGCCTCAGTGTGTATTCAGCAGTTCTTAGTGATGCAGCACAGTTTGGTTTGGTTTTTGGGTTTTCTTGGTTGGGTTTTTTTTTTTCTTGGCTGTGAATTGATGTTCCTTTATTGTCTATTTCAGGACCAGCCACCCCCTCCTCCGTACTTCCCACCAGAGGACAAGAAAAACCAATAAGCTAACACAGAACTTCTCTACAACTCATTGCTTTCTTACTTCCCATTTTGGCAGAATCTCGGGGCATGGTCCGTAGCACTGAGGAGTAGAGCCTTCCCCCAAGGCACATAGCTTTCATGGACTTTAGTGGTAGATATGGGCAGAGCAAGGGGAGAGATTTCAGCAGCCTGGGTTACCTCGCAGAGCTCTGAGGGTTCGCTGTCCTACCGCAGCGTTCCCTTCTCCCTGCGCGCGGCACCGCTAGAGCTGGAGGTTCTCTCCACCTGTGGTTGTTTACCTTACTATGTTTTCTCTCGATAATTCAATTATACCTCTTCAGACTAAACAACTGCTCCAACCTGGTCATTAACGTGCTCATAACATGGAAACCAGGCTCTTGGGGGGGCGGGGGGTGTCTTGGATTTACCCTAGTGTGCAGCCAGGAACGTCGCTGGACGCAGGGGTGTCTCTGGGTGTTCCTTTCGACACAGAGTATCACATCCAGCTTCTCCCTCTGCTACTGAGAAAGGGCTTCAACGGGAACCTTTGGGATCTCAAAAGAAATAGATATCGATGACGTTTTTCAGATATCCGTTAAACTTTCTTGGGGTTTTTTAGCTGAGTCATTCCTGACAATTGTAGCAAATAATTGGGTAGCCCTCCAAATTTGCCTGCTGTGCGCTGTGTCTGATGCTGCTGACGAGCTTCCCTTCTTAAGGAAACACACGGCTCTTCGCGGGGTTGGTTGGTAGCGTCTGACTAGTCATAGATCGTACGGGAACACTAACTTTCTGTTGTCTCGTTTTGCCAGTTAGATACGTGGGCTTGAGATCACTACGTCCTCAATATTCTCTTCATAGTCGATAATGCACTTTTTTTTTTCTTTGCTGTAACACAAGTTACACTTTTTGGCCGGTGAAGCTTCTTACTGCAGCGATTTAACTGGTGGATTGATAGCTAACGGGGAGAAAATAGTTGCTTTACTTCTGCCCTGGAAGCACTTGAGAGAGTGTGCAGATCGTTCGGTACAACTGAACTGCTCGTTGGAATGTTGTTTAGTGCTGTTAGTGTTCCTGGCTCAGCTGTGAATTTACTTCCCAGTAACTTGAACATGGGCTCCTTGGACCAAGGGTTTAAGCATTTTCCTTCCGTGGCATTGACTCGTTGATCTCATTAGCGACGACTCTGTGTGCAGAACCTCTGCAGGACTGATCAGAATCCAGGTGGTGAAACTTTGCGTTGTACAAAGCTTTGCACAAATCAGACTTCACTGACCTCTGACAGCTGTGAGAGAGAAAAGTCCTTCCCAGCAAGTGTGAAGAAAGATCGGGTGCTAGGAAACTGCTGAGACTTGCTGCATGCAGCCTGCTTGGAGAGGAGAAAGGTCCACCTCTTGTTTTCTTTTTGTTCGAGTCTAGCTGATTAATCAAATTGCTACTGTCTGTGCACTGACTTTTCTAGAATTGCTACTGCAGTGATGTAAAGAAATGGTTATTTTAAGAAAAATATTTATTTTGAAAATGTTTGATTAATATATTAATGTGAAATGACTTTTGAATGCAGATTTGTTTTGCCAAGACTGTGAAGTAAAGAGAAATCAGCTCAAAACATACAGTGTTTGTGCATTGCTGTGTGGGGAAGTGGACAAACTTGATGGTGACTTAGCTTTTGGATGGGGAGAGGGAGGATTAAACAGAAAAATCACTTGGGTTTTGTTCTTGGCTATTCAGTGGTGAGATCACTTGGTTTCTCTTGACTGATCTCGTGAAATGAAAATAAGATGTTAAAATCTTCTAACAAACGCCCATTAAAAAATTCCTGCTGTAAACTGGTGAGGCAGCTGCTTAACACTTTACCCAGATGTGTCACCCAGGTGGCTTTTCCAGAGCGATTGTCCTTGTAAAAGCTGCAACCTGTTGCTAGAAGTAGTAGTTGAGGGGTGCAGCATAGTTGTTGCCTCTAAAATACGTCTCTAATTAGAAGCAATCCATAATTTCATCCCTTTGTTTCTTTTTTTTTAAGTGTGCTCAGCTGCCTGGGTAGTTGTGCTCGGTTCGGTCTGCACTCTCTGAGGTGGTGTGGTCCGGGTGGTGGCTCTTCTCCCTGGCAGAGCGGGGAGTTGATACTCCAGCAGCATGAAGTGCTGCTCCTGGGTGTGCTCGGCGGCAGCGCGAGCAGAACCAGGCGTGTCGGGGTAGTTTGGCAGGGCAGGGCAGGGCAGGAGGTGTTCCTCACGGGATCTGGTCCCGTGGTTACTGGGATCAGGTGAGCCCCTCCAGTTTGCACTGACACGTGTCAAACAGAAGTTATTCAGAAGCTGCTCTGCAGGTACCATCCAAACCTTGCTTGGCTTCGTTCTTCTCTCCAGCCGCCTTAATTCTCTTGAACTCCCTGATCAGCTGGACATCTTCCAGATTCTGCTCTCTTTCTGCATCTCTTTGACTCTCATGCCCTCCCACATGGCTGTTTTACTGCGTTTTCAGTCTGGCTCAGCCACTTGGGTTTGTTTTCTGTAGCAAGAGGTGGGTGGAGAAGGAAAGCATTAAGAGATAAAATTTTACAGTCCAGTAGGAACCCAATAAATCCTGTTTTGTGAATTAAATTACTTCACATCAAGGTTTCCTGAATCACGTCTGTCCAACTGTAAGATACTGCAGAAACCTCTCTGTTCTGTTTTGAAATGTCTCCCTCCCAGTTTCCCCTCTGTTCCCAGACAAATAATCCTAGAAAACATGGATTGCACAAAGTTTCCAGGTCTCTTGCCCAGCACCACTCACTGTGTGGCTCTTATATCAACAATTGGCACAAACCCATGAGGGTTTTTTTTTTTAATCTTTCCTCGACTAAGTGTGCTTGAGAGAAGAAACATTCAGATACCTGCTCTGATAAGAACTTGGTTCTGTGGTTCAAGCTCAGTGTCTCTTCCGCTAGTCTGGACAAGCGGTGAGATCACAGAGTCACCTGCCGAGGGACCATGAGGTTTGCTGCCTGGAAAAAGGAAAATAATGTCGAAAGGATGAGTCAGGCTGGAATAAATGAAATATTCCTCTCCTCAACATGGGTATTAATGGAGCTAAATCAGCGGCTTTTGATCGGTGAGCTTTTTACAGTGGCTTGTTGGTGAACGTCCCTGTCCCTCCAGGCTGGAGCTTGACACGGTCTGTGGGGAGGCGAGGAGGAGCAAGCCAAGCTAAAGAGACCGATCCTGGGCTGCTTGGTGCGTTTGGAGCACGCTGCGGAGTGAAGCCCGTTTTGGGAACGCTGAAGCTGTGGGGCCAAAAGGCTGGTCAAGCCACGCAGCCAGCAAGGCTCACGCAGGTACTGGGTTGAGTGGAGGGTGCAGATTTGGGCCAGAGAGATGCTGGTGAGAATCCCTCCCTCGCTTGTTAAAACCTGAAAACCCCGATTTGGCTTTGGTACTCGGCACTCGCTGCCGTCTCCCCGATGGGAACGGGCCGCTGTGCTCTGCCTCGGAAAGGGCTTAGAGGGGGTGGAAGAGTCAGCCTGTCCTGCTGCCCACGTAGAAGATTTTAAATATTAAAGCAGGGAAGTGCAACTGAAAGTCTGCTGCTGCTCTGGGAGTGGGGTGGGAGTAGGGCAGGAGGAGACGTTTTGCATTAGTGTGCCTTCAGATCTGGTCCTTGCTTGAATGATTAATCAGCTGTGCAGCAGCAAGGCGGTGGTGAGAGTTGGATCAGTCCCATTAAATTCCAATATTTGGATGGTATTGAAGAAAAAGAGGGGGCATAAGGAACATTTAGTGTTGGATCCAGTTATCTTTTGGCGTAGACGGATTTTGTACTGCCGTGTACAGTTCAGTCTCCTTGATGTGACTTAGGATCTTCGATTGAGAAGTCGCTCGCTGCACCTTGTGCCTGCTTCCCCGCTCTGAATACGCAGCTATTTCCCTCCTTCACGGGAGTGTGGTGCAACTAGGTATTTCTAAAGTGCTTTGAGGTCTTACGCAAAAAAAATGTTACTCCAGGAACTGCAGGTGCTACTTACAGGTTTCCTACTATGGGCCCTGAAATCTTGCTGGTATCCCTGGGGGCTGGGGGAGGTCTTTACCCTGGAAGGATGGGGCACGTGTGTGCTTGCCCAGGATTGCCTCCAGCCGAAAGCAGAGACCGAGCCCCCCTCCTCCGCGCCGTTCTGCCCCGATTTTACATGAGCACATCCTCTTCGCGCGACCTATCGCCAAAAAAAATAATTAAACCAAATGATTATTTTGCATTAATTCCTTTATGGCTGGGGGGCCGTGCTGAGCCGTCGTAGGGACCGTGGTTAAGCCAGACTGGCCAGCGCCTGCCTGCTCTGTGTGTGTGAGGGGACGGACACGGCAACGTTGCCTCCCCAGCGCTGGCCGAGCAGTAGATGGTCAGATTGCATCTCTGCCCCATGATGGACACCGGGATTTGTGAGCTACGGCCGGGTCCCTTCACAAGCACCGCTGGAGGTGGCGGGAGGTGCGGGGCGAAGTTTGGACCCAGCTGTTCCCCGGAGCAGCCGGGAGCAGGGCCAGCCCTCGCCGGTAAGCGGCTCACCTTGGCCGATGCGGTTGCATCGCAGGCACCTCCAGCCGTAAACATCTGCCAGGTTGGTATTAGAAGATGGGTTTTGCTAAGACAGGCTGTGATCCAGAGGTGGTTTCAGGTTTAAAGCTGTACGACTAAGCCCGCGTGACAAATGTGGGGTTTTGTGGGTTGGTATGAAATGCCAGGACACGCAGGGTGGAGATCTTCATTTTAGGCAAGGGTTTTCTTTGCAGCCATACCGGGTATTACTCACCCGTCTGCTTTCTTATGTGAGTCAGCCCAAAGAGCTGCCATCATGAGACTGAAGTGGAAACCGGTATTTCAGCACCCTCCTTGCTCAAGGGCTGTCACTGTGCCACAACGGGATGTGAAGAGCCCCACGTAACGGCGAGCAGGAGCAGGGACTTGTACCTGCTGGTGGGGGCTGCTGGATCTCACGCCTCAGGGTGCAAAGGGACCGGGATCCAACTCTGCTACGTCCTCCCAGCTGCCTGCCTGCCATCTCCTACACGTTTCCTACGGTCTCCAGGTACCGGAGCAAAAGGTATCAGCTGGAACTCCATTTGTGAGCTCGCTTCAGCAAATCTCATCTTTCTAAACCTTTTCTTTCCCTTGCTCAAGTCCAGTCCCTCCTCCTCCTCCTCCACGTACTTTGCTCTGTAAGGGCTGGGCTCTGGCTG